CTTTCACGCAGTGCATGCTGGGATCAACCCCTCTGTGACCCTGCACAGCATAAGCAGATACAGAAAATGAGTGATATTGAATAAAAAGTAATAAAGAAGCACTGATTAGATGTCCGTCCAGTCCAGATGAAACTGTTTAAAATGTCAACATGAGAAAGTAGCACCTCCTGAACGCACCTTCACCACGAAGGAGCTTGTTGTGAGAACGTATCAGGTTAAATACAGACGGATCTTAATACTGTTGGTCACGCTTCAAACTGAGAGTTGAATTAGCCCCAAGCGACACCTCAGCGCAGATCCAGTGTCCGCGTCCTAACACATCACACGTGTGTTTAACACAATATCACCTGATAGAGGCACCGAAATCGACAGGAAGGGCCCAACATCTGAAAAGTTGCCTCAGAAAGTCGACCTCCTTTTTCTTCTCTGGCTGTTGTCCGCCTTTCGTCACACCTATCTCCGGTAATTCACAGTAATATGCGTGTGCCGCCAAGCTAAATCAGATTAGAAAGGTGGAAGTGCGTCTGAGAGGGCAGGAAAGTAATCCCCGTCAGAGAGGCATGTGTCACTGAGTCCTCAACCCGGGCCTGCTTCCCCTCGCCTGCTGGAATTGATTTGATATACGCTCGGTTTCTCTCTAACTCTCTCAATAGTTTTCCCGGCGCGCGGCTGCCGGCCCCTCCTTGAACGCACGCCGCTCTGAGCCCCCGTGTATTAATACAATTCAGCAGATAGTGAACAGAGGGGAAAATCCAATTTGAAATGAATATTTTTTGACTTCACCTGCACAGCAGCCTCCTCTGTGGCACCGCGACTGCTCATCTTCAATATTGTCTACCTGCATCACATTGTCATGAGAGCCAACAGGGGGGAGGTGGCAGTGGCGGCTGCAGGATGGAGAGGGGGGGAGGGAGAAAACTTCAAAGGCTTCTGTAAACAAACCCTCTGGTGAGGAAAGAGGAGAAGAAAGGCTAAAAGTGTACTTTTTTCCTGCTTTTGTTGCCGTCTATTAACTTTTAATTGCACTGTGTGTCGCAGTGACAGATGTGAGAGCTCGTGTCATCGCCGCCGCCGCCGCTCGTGTCCCCTCGTTCAGAGAGATAGCAGGAGGGCAGGTTAATTAAGCAAACAGGACAAAGCAACAGAGAAATGTTTATTCCTGTGTCGCAGAGTCCCCGCGTGCTGCAATCAGCTCCCTGCCTCGTGTCCTATTTGCTGGGCTTGACATTTGTACATAATGAAAAAGCAATTCAACTGTTTTGATAAGAAACGCCTCAAAAAGCAGTAGTTCCTTTAAAGAGGAAAGTCAATGTTGCTTCTTGTCACAGCCAGCGACCATGTTTCATTTCAGTATAATAAAATCCAATTTATCACCAACAGAAAGTGGTGTTTTGTGGGTGATTGCTTTTATTTTTTTTTGCGTATTGCTTGTTTTTAGAGTTTAAAAGTCTTCCAGTATCACCAAAATTTAGATTACAGTTTTTAAAAGGAGATTATTCGACGAGTATTTCATACAAAAAAGCAATTTAAAACATAATTTAAGTATATAAAACATTGCAAAGTAGAGTCACCTAGAAAAAGGTCCTCCTAAATATAATCAATATCAGTTTAATTGTACGCTATATTTCGAATATATATCCACAGTTTTACCTTCCTTTTACCCTATCGAGGCAGCAGTAGACCAGTAACTTTGTTCTGTAAAATTACTGTTTTTGTCAGTTGGGTCTGGTGGCTTTGGAGAGAGTGATACAACGGCTTCAGTTCCCCCGTTGGAAATATTCGTCTGACGGCGAGGTAAATGTAGCCCGACCTAGTCTCAAAGCAGAAGTGTTAATACCTTTTTCTGAATGGCCACAGTCGGAGAACAGGTACCTCTCGACTGCAAGAAATGTACAGAAACTGAGGGTTAAGGCGTTGTTAGACGATCCAACAAACACAGGAGTGGCAGTATCTTGGGATTCGTCGTGGGAACCAGAGTCTAAATACATGTCTATTGGTCCTGTGTGTGCATGTGTCTATTTCGGGTCTTTATCTGTGTGAATGAAGTGGAACAAAATTTTGTAATTCTTCTTCTTACCACACCTGAGCTTTCTTTCCGTAACAAATTCTATAAATGTCTAGTTGGTCATATATCTTAACTTGTAACCTCAAAATATATCAATCTATATCTTCTGTATTTTAGTCTGGAATAGTTAGTAGATCACCTGAGATCACCTGAGGTCACCTGAGAGGGGTTTCATGTGGTAAAAATAAGTCTCATTTTGGATTTGTCTAAACCTTTGCAGGTGTCAGCCACAGATCCAGACCAGGAGGCCGATCAGACCGCCCTCCGCTACTCCCTCCATGGCCAGGGCGCTGGTGGCGAGTTCACCATTGAAGAACGCACAGGAAGAATCTACGCCCAACGGCGTTTGGACCGCGAGGAGCGCCCGGCCTGGAGGTTCCTCGTCCTCGCCACAGACGAAGGAGGGGCCGGACTCACAGGGTTTGCTGACGTTCTCTTAGAGGTCCGAGATGTCAACGACAACGCGCCCTTCTTCCCGTGCCCGGCACTGGAAGTAGACGGATGTTTTGTCGGCCAAGTGCCTGAAAATTCACCTGCCGACACCTCCGTCATGGAGATGCGTGCCATGGACCTGGACGACCCCAACGAGGGCAAGAACGCCATGCTGACCTACAGCATCATCAAGAACGTCCGCAATGAGATTAACCTCAACCTGTTCTCCATCAACGCCAGCACAGGCACCATCTACACGGTTCTACGCTCCCTGGACCGGGAGGTGGAAGACCGGTATCTGGTAGTGGTTGAGGCCAGGGATGGCGGGGGTTTGGCGGGAACAGGGACAGCCACCATTATGATTTCAGACGTCAATGATCACCCACCCGTCTTCTCTCAGAGGCTCTACACTACTCAGGTGAGTCCACGAACGTGAGGCAGTGACACGCCTTCACCTCCTTTTGTCGTTGCTAATAATAACTCTGTTGTATCCTTTGGCGTTCAGGTGACAGAAGACCTGGAGGTGAACAGCGAGGTTCTTGTAGTTTCTGCCACAGACGGCGACGAAGGCGAGAACGCTGTGGTAACCTTCAGCATCGTCGGTGGTGACGAGGACAGGAAGTTTTTCGTGGAGACAGACAAAGTGAACCGACGCGGTGTGATAAAACTTAAGAAGAAGGTTGACTTCGAGAAGCCCCACGAGAGGACTTTCAATCTGACCCTGAAGGCCGAAGACGCTGATTTCTTCAGCCTCGCCTACTGTCTCGTTCAGGTGGAAGACTCCAACGACCACGCACCAGTATTCTTCCCGCAGTTCTACGAGTCACCGGCCATGTCTGAGGACGTACCCGTGGGGACAATTGTCGCTCAGGTTACAGCTTCTGATCTCGACTCCAGCCAAAATGGACGCTTTTCTTACAGTATTTCAAAGGAGTCAGACCCCTACGGTCAGTTTCTGGTGGACCAGTCAGGTTGGGTGGTAGTGGCCGATTCTCTGGACAGGGAGAAAATCTCGCAGCACAGGATCATGGTCCTTGCCACCGACTCTGGGACTTCACCCCTGACTGGCACTGCCATCGTCGTGGTAACCGTACTTGACATCAACGACAATGGGCCAGAGTTCGAGGTCCCTTATAAGCCCGTGGTTTGGGAGAACATGGCGGCGCCCCAGGCAGTTCGGATGAACGAAACCTCCCTCCTCCTCCACGCCACCGACCGGGACACCTCCACCAACGGCGGACCGTTCTCTATACGGCTTCTCATGCTCACCTCAGACGCCACCAACTTCAATTTGACTGACTTTCGTAATGGCAGCGCAGCCATCACCGCCCTCCGGACCTTCGACCGCGAGCGGCAAAAGGAGTACCACCTCCCGATTCTTATGATCGACAGCGGCTCTCCTCCAATGAGCTCCACCAGCACGCTGACGGTCGTCATCGGGGACAGGAATGACCACCCTCACTCACCAGGACACACCAATTTCATCGTCTACAGTTATGAGGGTATGTTTCAGGTTTTCTGTTTATATAACTGACAGTATTACCACCTTTAGTTACAGACATTAGCAGGATAAATCTGGGTGGGGAAGGTGGAGATTACCACCACCTTAACCTAAGTGTGAACCTATTGTGACATCACAACCAGATCATCACAGTGTCCCAGCAACGCCATGAGCGAAAAAAACATCACATGACCTCTTAAAAGTTCTCATTTTAGAGACTTTTCTTCAAGTCTCCACCAGTTTTAGCCGCTGACGGTCGCAGGTTGGTCAGGATCGGCCCTGCTGCCCCCCCCCCCGCTGTGAAGCTGTAGTGGAAACGCATGTCATCACAGCTTGGATTGGCCGACCCGGGTCCGTGGAAAAACCCTGTTATGTGAAACGGGGCCCCTGGCTCTTCTTTGATTTAGTAGGAGATCAAAGTGAACTGCTCCAAGAAAAGCAGAAATATTTACCTCCCTTGTGTTGTTCACAGCTACAACTGAACAGTTCCTTTAGATTTTCTCTACAGTCGTTGCCTTTTAATTTGTGTTTTCTTTGACTTGTTAACCTTCTTTTATCCAGGAACAGGCTTCGCTGTTTTTCATTTCACACCCGAGAGCCTCAAAGTACAACTTTCTACTCCGCCATAGAAGTTGCGGCGTTGCTCAAGGGAAACCTGGTGGTAGTTGTAGACAGACAAGAAAACATTTGTCATTCATCGTCCCAGTTCAGAGTTCACCAGCTGTTCTGAGGGATTCAAACTGGTGTCTTTCTGGTCGCAGACGGGCTCCTCTAACCTTCAAGTCCCCCGGTGTCCCTCCCACCACCTCCTGAGTGCTCTGCGCTCGTGTTGTTAAGACTGTACTTGTCACAGTCGACTGCTCGCAGCCTCCTGCTCCAGCCCACATCACTTATTTAGCATTTCATACCATCTGTCAGCCTCCTGTAATTTGCTGGAAAAACTAAGGTTTTCTGTAATGTATTTTTAGTGGATTCCCTCTCCGGGGGCCTTTCCACATGAAAGTACATTAACCCGCTAATACGAATCCATCACGTAGCTCAACAACATGCCATGAAGCAAACAATTAACTCCAGCTTAAGTCCCAGGTTTGATGGGCACATAAACAGGAGCCATTTTTAAAAGGCAGCTGATTTCACGGCTAAAGAGATTACAGCGCTGCGTTCAGCTTTTTTTGGAAGAAGGGGGGAAAAACACTGTGCGAGCGTGCACGTCTTCCTGCTGTGCTGTCAAACCATGACCGTGTGTGCCAGTGAGGCCGCCACCTTATCTCCTTAAAGAAGCCTCCACTTTCTCTCCGTCACTCTTAATATTTGGGTTGTACCGCAGGGATCCCTCGCACTCAAAACTAATTCCTTTCAAAGCCGATGCATTTTTTGACCTTTTTTTGTGTCTTTTACTTCCCACCTCCTGACAGGTATTCTCCCGACGACGGTGCTCGGACGAGTTCAATCCCCCGACCTTGATGACTGGAGTGAGAAGGTGTACCGGTTCGAAGGCAAACCATCCAGGTACTTTGATCTTGTACGGTGAAAACTCTGAGATGGCTGAGAGGTGACATGCAGAAAGGGGGGAGTGATGGAGGGGAAAAGTAGAGATAGAGGAGTAATAGTTGGGTGTCGAGGTAAAGAGAGGTAGAGGGCTTTGAAGGAGAGCAAGGCCACGAGCTAATAAAGCAGAGAGGCAGCAGTGCAAACAGAGGAAGAGGTAGAATGTTGAGGTCGAGCAGCAGAAGTAGGGATCTGAAAAAGAGAAGCAAAGTGGGAAAGACAACAAAGGAAAAACACGGACGTATAGATAACGAGATGGAGAGGATACTGCTGGCGGGTCAGTGTACTTGGCGGACAACAGATTTTTGTTCTGAAATGAGAAAAACAACCTGTTTTGTTTCCTAAATTCATAAACGGTAGTTTCACAGTGCGCAGATTATCCTACCAACAGTCGAGTTTCAAACAGAATACACTCTCAGGTTTACCAGGACAGCATTTCCAAGATATTGGGTCATTTTAATCAATTTCCAGGTGTTTCCATGATTGGAAAACTAGTCTCTAAAGACTGTCTGAGAGGAGGGCCACACCCTCAGACTCTGTTTTAAATCATCAGGTGGACTGGATTTAAAGCAGCAGGTAAATGACAACAGGAGGTAGTTTAATCCCTGTGAACATCTGGACCATCTTTAAGTGTTCACACTTATGTTGGGCACATTGTGAGTAGCTTGTGGATAAAAGCATCTGGAGAATGGCAGATGTAAAGCAGTCTTAAGACGTGTTTGGAGCTAAAGCAGCAAAGATTTCCCCCCCCCCTGTTAAAGTGTCCCACCTCTCATGTGACACGCAGCAAAAGACGCATGAAGAAACAGAGAGAGAATACAAGAGCAGCACAGGAACTGACAGATCTAAAATAGAGAGAGAGAGACAGTACAAAGGTGCGGCGCGACAAAGGGGAGAAAGGAAAATTGGGACAGAGAAACAGGCAGTTTGAAGGGGGAAACAAAGAAAGAGTGAAAGAGAATGAAAGGGCAGAGGACGGGGAGGAGAGAGAGATAGAAAAGGGGATCTGACTTGTCAGGAACAGTGCTATTAATACTTCATAACCAGCGGTATTGAAAATTCCCAGTGAAGCGCGGCGAGGGCGCGCTCATTTTGTTTGATGAGGCGAGGCTTCATGCGGGCGCGTTTGAAAGGAGAGCCTGATTGCGCTCCCTGCCACCCTCTCTTCTAACGAGATACCTGTAAGGAGGGACGACGAGAGACGACAAGAAACGGCCGAGAACAAAGGAACCGCCGGAGAATTACCATAGATGCTCCTGGAGCCCTCATCACGCCGGCCTGCGGATAGCAATTTGTTCCCAGTATGGATCAGGGTTAGGTCGCGAGTTATTTAACGCACAGAGGCGATAGGAGCTGGAGGAAAGAGAAGAACAACATGTCACCTCACAGGACAACAAATAGACATATAAAGAGAAAGATATCAGCTGACAGACTGTTTGGGATTGATTTGCACATTATACACTGTAAAAAAATATATATTCAGGCAGATAGAGCGGATAAATAATACAGTAAAATAAAAATAAAGTAAAACCTTCCGTAATTTTTTGGCTTTTTAATGTTTCATTGAAGATATTGACACTGTAAAACCAATTAAATTAGCTATAAATACAGATGAACTCTGCTGTAATACAAATAATCAGGCTTACATTTACAGCAGAGTGCTGTTATTATTTGATTTTTCTTATTTTAATCTGAATTTTAAAAGTTATAGAACTGTAATAAAATTAATTATCTGTGAAATTACAGTAATTATTGCTGTTTACACTGATATAAAGCTGTATTTTGGACACGTTACCACCATTGCTTCATACACCTGTTTACTGTCTTGAGAATACACATTATTTTCTTGCATTCATACAGTGTAAATTATTTTTGTAATTTTATTAACATTTCCATGTATTCCATGTATAAAACCCAGTAATCGTAAATATCCTCTCATTTGTCAGTGAAGTGTTTGCAGGGTTTGAAGTCTATAAAAGTGTGACATAAAACCAGGCGAAGGTCCGTATCAACCTCCCCTGCAG